TGACAAGCACTTCCCAACAGCATCCATCTTATCCTAAGAAGCTTATATGAGAAAAGAACTCCTCACAGCGAAAACAAACTGCACTGTGTTCCTAACTAGTAGTGGCAGCAACAAAGAACAAAAACCTTAGACCAGAAGTCCAGTGTTTGATCTGCAGAACTTCACGTGTGTACTCCGCACAAAGTAGCATATTGCTTCTGCAGCGTTAAACTAAGAGCCTGTTTTTCTCTCTCCAATTCTGTTACGTGGCTCTCAGTCTTTGTGTCGGCCTGCCTTTCTCAGGGACACACTTGCCACTGCTTTCCATTGCACTGGTTCCTTTTGTATTATACATTACCAGAAATAAACATTTATATGGCCTGCCCATCTATCTTTCTATTCCCCACCCCCAAATGATTCTTAATGTTTCAGGTGTTCAAATTTGTCTCCAAAAACAAAAGAACATAGGAGCAAGTTTCTCTTAGAGGCTGGGTACCTCTCCCAAATTTTCAAAAGATATCCCTGATCATAGGATACAACTGACATAAGCAGTGATCCCTAGAGCTGGCTGCGCATCTGAATGAGCTGAGCTGCTTACTAATTTCCCATTTTCGTTGTTGCTACAGAGAATTACTGATATATTTCTGGGGGCGGGGGGTGGGGTCTGGTGGGTTGTGTACATATAAACCCTAGGAAGGAAACAGGACGGAACTAAGAAAATTATGAAAAATGAAGGCAGTGCCAGTCACATGCTTTAGCAATTGTTTTCAGTTAAGGCATATATCAAATGGTCCTAATGTAAATGTCCATGTGAAGGGTGATGACTTTAGCACAGTTATTCAGTAACTGTTTATAGAACATCTATTTAAGGCAAGATAAAATGCTAGGAGCCCTGAAAAAATACAAAGATAAATGATTCCTGTCTTCAAGGAGCAGAGATTCAATGTCATCAAAGTAGTATTTACAGACCTAGGCGTCCAAAGATGGGTGGTGAAGGAAAGCATCCTGGAAAGAGCCACATGCTCCCACAATCGTACAGGATCACTATGGCCCAAAATTTACCAATAATAGCCCAAGCTTGGGGTAAGAGAGCTGTGACTGCATGCTGGCTGTGCCACTTGCTGAGTTCATGATCTATAATAATGAACCTTCCTAAACCTCCGATTCTTCCTCTGAAAAATGGGGTAACATCCCTTCCGTGTAAGGTTTTTGTGAGAAAACCTGAGATAAAGCATGTAAAATGCTTCGAAGCATACTGGATAGTGTTCACTACCGTTAATTCACATACTAGACTTCCACTCCTCCCCTGTACATCCCCCACACCCACACCAAACTGCATTACTCAACATTTCACCAAGACTCTAGGGCACTTCCTCCCTTTGCTTTTGTTCGTCCTTACACTCTCATAGCTGCAATTTCACTTGCTGAAATGCTATGTACAAATATAGTGTCAGTTCCCTCACTCTGTCACTCCAGTTTATTGAAAACCTCCCCACAGAAGGAGTAAGGAGGGGAAGTAGACTTCAGAGCATTTATTACAGTATAATTCACTTATTTCCTAGGTATTTGTTTAATGTCTGTCTCCCTTATTAGTGTGTAAATTTTGTGGAAGACTCCACGTCTGTTTTGTTCATTTTTATAATCTCCTTAACAGGCAATGAGTTAGCATTTAATATTTGTTGAATACACTAAATACAGAATAAGCGGACTAATGAACAAATATATAGCCAAAGGAACAGTGCAGAGATGATGATAAGAACAAAAATTAGTTTTGTAGGAAACTTTACCTGATGATTAAGTGTTGAGAAAAATGAAGAGGAGATGTGAGAGACAAAGCTAGAGTAAAAAAGTTTGTAGGGTGAACTAAGTTTTAGTGGTGGGAATGAAGACTAAGAAGCAAAATGAAGAGGTATTTAAGAAGTTAGGAAACGATCAGGCTTTTGAACCCAAGGAATAAACGTGCATCTCATTGGACTTCAAGATGTACCCACTAGTTAAAATCTATTTATAATGTATAATAACAAATAGTATTGCTTATATTACCAAATAATTATTATTAAATAATCTATATATAATGTATAAAAATACATTAATACATTATAACAGCAGGGAACTTCTGAATTTACATGTAAGTGCAAGGAATTTGAAGGGTGGGCAGAAATGTGTAAATGTCCAGTAACTGGTTTGATACGGGCCCTAACACAGAGGTGACAGCTCAGGAATAAGGGCAATATGTCAAGTCCTGGGAGGGATGCAAAACCTTCACATTATGTTTAGCTAAGAAGGGCTGAGAGAGCTGAGATGGTGAGGGGAGAAATAAGCCAGCAAATGGTGCACATGCACACTCTTTAATAAGATAATATAACTCGGGGTCACACAAGTGAGGGGAGGGGATACATAAGAAAGAGCACCACTGACAATGTCCAATGAGGTTAAGAAGTCACAATGGATGTGACCTCTTACTTGTTTACCGAAAAACTATGTGTGAATCTCAAAAGAGAAGTTTTTCTAAAGTGGCAGGGCACAAAGCTAGGAAACAAGGGGTTGAAGTGAGAGGTGGTGACGAAATGGTGAAGGTAGAGAAGTGACCCACATTTACCAGGAGTTGGGCATGAAGAACAGCAGCTTGAGAGGAAAGAGAGCGTTATGAAGATCATCAACAAACTCTTGTTTCAGACCTATCTTTCAAATAAACAAATTTCCATAGTAGAAATCGAGATTGGGGAACAGATAACTGATGATAAAGGATATAAGAGACAATGGCCTCTTAGCTGGATTAATATGGAAAGAAAGAAAGGAACATCTTTCTACCTGACCGTCAGAAAAAAGGAAAATTAGTGAAAATAAAAAGACATTTTGAGGTGAAGATGACACTTAAGAAGCTCAAATCGTTCCTTGGCCTTGATATGCTCAGGGAGTTGGGTCAAGGAACAAAGTCATGAGTTGAGAACGCGGGGATAAAATTGAAAAGCAAAAGCAGCAGGCAGTGAACTGGAAAACAATCACTGCTCAGTCTCTATATGGGGTGCAAAGACAGTATCCCTTCTTAGCATTAATATTTTCAGGGAACTCATGATAGGTGTTACTATAGTAGTCTTCAAATAGGACAGGCAGAGGCATTTTAGAAGCTACTATTTTTCAAGAGCCTACAAGATTTGTTTACATCAGTTTTTTATACAAGTAGAAAATGTAGGCTGGCACGGTGGCTCACACCTGTAATCCTAGCACTTTGGGAAGCCAAGGCAGGAGGATCACCTGAGGTCAAGAGTTCGAGACCAGCCTGGTCAACATGGTAAAACTCCATCTCTACTAAAAATACAAAAACTACCCAGGCGTAGTGGCAGGTGCCTGTAATTTTAGCTACTCGGGAAGCTGAGGCAGGAAAATCACTTGAACCCGGGAGGCAGAGGTTGCAGTGAGCCAAGATCGTGCCATTGCACTCCAGCCTGGATGACAAGAGCAAAACTCCATCTCAAAAAAAAAAAGAAAAAAGAAAGAAAACACAGAAGCCTTCAAATAGCAATTTATAACAAATGAGAATAAAGTCAACCTAAGAAAATATACCAAATATTTTCAAAAGTATCAATGATTTCTGCTTTCAACTTGGTGTTTAAACACCCTCAAGTTGCACAGTTGTAAATAATATTAATAATCTGAGATAAGCACCCAAAACTTACTCACTTGTTTATTCCCTCAAGGATACAGTTGTTGGACAAGGAAAAGCATCAACTGGAGAGTCTATTACAGGAGATGTCAGGCTATCTCTTTTACCCTAGTCCTCCTGCTGCTATTGAATTGAATGTGTCATCTCCCCTATAAACTAAGTTCTAAAAACCTCATCCTTTAATCAATTACTTTCTTTCTCCAGATATTATCTTACACTCACAGAGACTTAATAGATAAAGAAACTAGAAGCATGCATGCCCAAAACCCTGGCAGGCTTGTTGTACTACATTAATTAAAACATGTCTCTTGAGTCAAATGTCCTTAGAAAGAAGAAATGGAGTTAATGGAATTGAGGTCTGCTCTAATTCATCTTTACTTCTTTAAAATAACTGATAAGAAATTTTGCCAAAATGTGTGTATGTTGACAAAGATGTGATAATGATGGTAAGATGATGAGAGCTGTGTATTCTCCTTTCATCTTATTCACATTTTCTGAGATTTCAACAATGATTCAATTATCATAGAATTTTAAAATTACTAATGTCCTTAAAGAAAAATGAAAAAGATCTCACTCAGAATAAGCTTTCTTTCTTCCAAACACTGATAAAAAACAGATGAAGTAGATGTAATTCCTTCTGATAAAACAAAATATGGCACTTCATACTTCCCAGTACTCCCTAATTTTGTACGCTCTACTTCAAATGCAAATCCAGTATATATCCGGAAGTCAACTGCACACAGCAACCTATCACATCTCTAAGAAAAGCAGTAAAAACCAGTCTTCAGAAACAATAAATGCATTTAGTTAAAATTTTTAGCTTATTAAATAACTTTTAAAAGATGCCTTATAACACTATTTCTTTCAGCTGAATCTTTCAATATACCATACTATTTTGTTTGGAATAAAACAAGTTCATATAAATGTTTCATCAGGAATAAGCCTCGAGCCTGGGAGGAAGAATGGATGTGCACATGGATGAGGAAACTGTTACAGGAATGAAGATATTAAAAGGTTTTTTTTTTTTCTTTTATCATTAGTAACTATACACAAAGTGGAGTATATTTTCTGTAAATCAAGAAAATAGGAGGCTGATTTAACTAGATTTGTATATGAAATCTTTGTTCTACACAGCTTATAGTCCACAGTATGACTGATATTTATATATACTGGTCCTCTATTTACAAGCAAAACACTTAAGACTGGGATGTCAGATAACTAGGTCACAAGACAGCATTCTTTTTTGCAAAATATTTCAATGCCCAAGACTCGTTATTTTTGGAACCTGTTGATATCTAACCTAAATTTCTGTATTCCAATGAATAAAGCCAAGCTAGCAGACACGACTATGCACTGCTTTAAAACACACGCCCTCAAACAAAATATTCATCAATGTCAAAATGACCACATTTAGAACCAGAGACCACTAGAACTAAAACAGCCTAAGAGCTAATCAAATGTCATAATTATATTTCTATCCTCCTGCCCAGTTCCAAAAGACTACAAGTTTCAGAGTAATCCCATTTGAAGCAAACATTTTCAGACAAGCAGACTACCTTTAGTAGACTTGGTAAAATAAAAACCAATTAAGCTACTTAAAAGTAAAAACTCTGTTCATTTTTCTAACTCATCTCAATCATACAAAATAACCAAATCAACCAAAATTAGCTCTGTTCCCAACACTAACACAAATAACTACAAACTGTATGTGTTGATGTTATTTACTAACGAGATTAAAGTATATATAACTTGCTCTGCTTCTATTCATATGAATATGTACTTCTGTTACTGAGTTACTTTTCACTTAAAAGATTTTAGTCACTTTCAGCATTAAGTGGTCTAACTGGCAGCCTTCCTCCAATGAAAAAATGTTATCAGAGGTGGTTCATAAATAAGTATGTGGTTGTGAGTTAGAAATCAGAGGAAAGATAATTTAGATCAAGAACTGAAGCCCTTCTTTTAGCCCTCAAATCCCTACTGTTAGCCCTTCTAGAAGTTTAGAAATATAAGTTCTCAATAAGGTAGTATAAGTAACCTAAATTAGTTTTCCTTTAATATGGCAGATTGATTTGTTAAAAATAATCATCATTTTCTTGTATAAGCCTTGTTTCATCTGACGGTCTTAGAAAAAGCATCAAAAACATCCTTCAGCATTTACAACTTGTTGTAAAGGCAAGTATGGTGCTTATTTTACTGAAAGACGTACAGCCATCCCATACATGAGATTCACCTCTCACTCCTGGGTCTCTTAGTGGGAGAGGAGTTGAGGAGAGGGCATGATAGGGAAGATTCTCAGGTACAGAAATTCACAAATACAGATTCTAGGACTAACTAGACAGCACAGGTCAGAATGGAGTCTCCATCTGACTTCAACGCTCTGCTCCTCAGTTCCCTTCATCCAGAGAATGAGGATGATAAGTGGACTTCAGAGAGTAGTTGAGATAATAAAGTGAGTTAATTCATGGACAGTATAAGAAATTAAATATTGGCAACTATTATTTGAAGTACATACGGCATAAAAGCTCTTTTTAAAATTGTGGGTCTCTGACAAATAAGGAAGGTGGAGATTTGTTTACCACAGAAGTCATATTTAAAAATAACAATAAAACCCTTTCCAAGAGTTTATTATCAAACTAATCCCTTTAAGACGACCAACATTTGGGGATTATTACATGCCTGAAATGACTGATATTAATAGTTTCAAGTTCTAAATGGCAACAAAATTCTTATATCCATTTAAATCAGTGGTCCTCACATTTGAGTGTACTGAGCATCAATGGAAGGCTCACTAAAATATAGATGCAGGGTGGGGCACCCCAGAGTTTCTGATTCACTCAGCTAGGTTGGTCCCCACAAATGTGCATTTCTAGCAAGTTCCCAAGTGATGCAGAGCTGCTCCTCTGCATTTTGAAAACCAATGAAGATATTTAACATGTAAAGATATAGACAAATACTCAAAATGTAGAAGAAATAACCAAAACATGTGTTCATAGCAAAGGCACCAACACATTATTCCACTGATAACAGAAGGACATTGTAGTTTGAGATACCAGGGGTGCGTGTTTCCACAAAGCAATATTTACATAAAGTTAAAGCAGCAAAACACTTTGCTCTTCAATCTCACCCCTAACATATTTTTTGCCCTTTTGGTTTCAAAGTTAAATAACTGTAAATAATTGTGATACAAGGATGCCTTAATTTAATGTTATATTTTCCCAAAAACTCAAAGTTAGGTAAAGAAACAAACAAAAAAAAAACTGTTAATATTTAAATTCTATTCAAGAAAAGCACAAAGGACACTGTAAATAATAAGCCTGGCAATGGATACAATCACTTTTCTAATGTAATTTTGGAATCTGCTAATTTGTAATAGAAGGAAGCTGTTTCACCTACAAAGGAGTTAATCAAACACAGGTTTAAAATAATGACATTATTAACCAAGGAAAAAACAAAGGGCCAGAGACTTAACATCTCTAACCAGCACGCATTTTGAGTTAACATAATTACTTGTTAGAAGAAAATACATCACCCAGTGTTGTACACAATATATTTCAGATAAATTAACCACCCAAGAAAGCAAGCTTAAAATCTTCTCCAGGAAGCAGACTGCGAAGGTTTGATCTCAACTTGGATTTATCGTTTGCAGAGAAAATAACCATAACTCGAAGTTATAAACCATCAACTCTATAGCAGGTTTCAGTAAAAAGCCACAAGATTTTAAATTGCTTTTTAAAAGATGACTTCTCAGCCATCCTCATCCCACATTTCCTGGGAAATAAAAGCAGAAGTCCTAAAAGAGGAGAGAGAGAAATTCAGTGTCTGCATAGCTTTGAGTCCAGTGTTTGAAGACAATCTCTGATTGTAAAGCCCTCTCTTCCTCTCCTTCTATTTCTCTATAGAACACTCAAGACCTTACTGATGAAAACTCAGGAAATTCTCTATCACAAAGAGGTTTGGCAACTAAACTAAAACATTAAAAGGAAAATACCAGATGCCACTCTGCACGTTGCAATAACTACTATTTACTGGATACATTCAAATCCTCCAGAATCAACGGTTATCAGGTAATGTTATTTCTACAAATTACAAATACTTGACAAATATATGTATTTACACTCTGATATGTGTGTACATTTTTGTCCAAGTTTCTCTTAAAATTGTAAACCTTAATAAATATCAATGCAAGCATGTATTTGGAATAAAAATAAAAATTAAAATACAAGTCTAATGTCAGAGACAACTGTTAATTAACCTCTTCATTAAGAAAAATTATATAAAGCATAGAAATAAAATGTAAATGGTCTTAGTTACCTTGCTTTAAGTATAAAATGAGATTTAAATACAGATAAAGGGAGCTGAAATTCTCAATGTCAAGAATACTTGTTAAATAACTTACAGATTAAGCAAAATGTATATTCACAAAGTCGAATTTCCAAAAGTGTCAGGGATGAACTAAGACCATACAGCAGTAGCAGGGAAGGTTAAAATCAGTGATCTTGTATTACAAAATATTAGGTTTTGTTTAGTATTATTTTAAAGTGCTAAATAGGTGAGGAGATGTTGAAAATTGAAGCCACACTGTGACAACATGATTCTTAATCATTTTCTTTCCATAGTTAAGGATAGAAAGGAATTCCGTGGACATTTTGGGGAATTTAAGTGCTACATTCATTTATCTAAATATATCTTACATGAAAGTTATTTTTTTTAATTTGTTATTTGTACTTTGAATATATCTCTGATTAAGAATATTTTATGTAGAATCAATTTCATTTATCTCTGGTGAAATAAAAAGATTACAAACATCATTTCAAATTTCTAAGATGTAGATGCCATATAGCATATTCGAATCACTTGTTAAGTTTTCTTCACAGCTGTCTATTGTGGTAATAACCTATATCTTATTTTAGCTACCATTACACACTCCACAAATCTGGAAAGTATGCCCTGTTTTGAGGAATGCCAACTCATGACCACAGGCCATTTCTGTCTTTCATTTTTTTTTTTACTGTTTTAAAATGTACACTGAATGATATTCAAGAAAATGTATGCAGCAACTTCAAAACACTGAGCAAAGTTGGAAATAAGATATACATGGGTTAAAATATTTGAAGCAGAATAATGAATCTCTGTGAGGCCAATTTTTGAATGAGTGACTGAGCAATACAGAGGCAGGAATATCTTCCAAATATAAAGAAAAAAGGTTCAGCTTTTTTTTTTTTTTTTAATGATTCAGTATTTTATTTATTTAATAAGTTTCCCAAGAGTAGTTTATACTAATTTCTTCCCCCTTTGTATTACTTTAGGATTCTAATGGGCAATTATCCATCATTTCTCTCTCAAATGTTTTGACGGTACACAGGAAAAGAAGCTCAGAAATAAGGACGGTGGGGGAAAAAAGACTGTGAATAGAAACCAAAAAGCTAAAAGGCATGGAGGGGAAGCTAGAGAAGAGTAAAGCACAGCCCCATTATTTCTCTTCTAGCTTTTGCATATAAATATGAGTGAGCTCTGAGTCAAAATGTGCTTTAAGAGGGAAATATTCAACAAATAAAAAAATACTAAGCATCTATAACTTCACATATTGTACTTCACATCATTTCTCTTCAGCAGAGATGCAGTATTTGCTGCAATGAAATATTTTGGGATTCAGTTTTCTGTGTTCCTACTAACTACTACAATGAAGATGAGAAACCTCAACTTTCAGAGAAGGCTGTGTCCAAAAAAGTTACACACAGAGGTAACAGTAACAGTAACTACCTCAGGCTGAAAACAACTATCCTCTCTCTTGTTCTATAGGTAACCAACAAGAAATGCAAGCCATCGACAACCTCACGTCTGCGCCTGGGAACACCAGTCTGTGCACCAGAGACTACAAAATCACCCAGGTCCTCTTCCCACTGCTCTACACTGTCCTGTTTTTTGTTGGACTCGTCACAAACAGCCTGGCGATGAGGATTTTCTTTCAAATTCGGAGTAAATCAAACTTTATTATTTTTCTTAAGAACACAGTCATTTCCGATCTTCTCATGATTCTGACTTTTCCATTCAAAATTCTTAGTGATGCCAAACTGGGAACAGGACCACTGAGAACTTTTGTGTGTCAAGTTACCTCCGTCATATTTTATTTCACAATGTATATCAGTATTTCATTCCTGGGACTGATAACTATCGATCGCTACCAGAAGACCACCAGGCCATTTAAAACATCCAACCCCAAAAATCTCTTGGGGGCTAAGATTCTCTCTGTTGTCATCTGGGCATTCATGTTCTTACTCTCTTTGCCTAACATGATTCTGACCAACAGGCGGCCAAGAGACAAGAATGTGAAGAAATGCTCTTTCCTTAAATCAGAGTTCGGCCTAGTCTGGCATGAAATAGTAAATTACATCTGTCAAGTCATTTTCTGGATTAATTTCTTAATTGTCATTGTATGTTACACACTCATTACAAAAGAACTGTACCGGTCATATGTAAGAACAAGGGGTGTAGGTAAAGTCCCCAGGAAAAAGGTGAACGTCAAAGTTTTCATTATCATTGCTGTATTCTTTATTTGTTTTGTTCCTTTCCATTTTGCCCGAATTCCTTATACCCTGAGCCAAACCCGGGATGTCTTTGACTGCGCCGCTGAAAATACTCTGTTCTATGTGAAAGAGAGTACTCTGTGGTTAACTTCCTTAAATGCATGCCTGGATCCGTTCATCTATTTTTTCCTTTGCAAGTCCTTCAGAAATTCCTTGATAAGTATGCTGAAGTGCCCCAATTCTGCAACATCTCAGTCCCAGGACAATAGGAAAAAAGAACAGGATGGTGGTGACCCAAATGAAGAGACTCCAATGTAAACATATTAACTGAGGAAATATTTCAATCTCTTTGTGTTCAGAACTCATTAAAGCAAAGCGCTACGTAAAAATATTAACTGACGAAGAAGCAACTGAGTTAATAACAATGACTCTTAAAACAAGTAATAGAAGATTTACAAAAGCAATTTTCATTTACCTTTCCAGTATGAAAAGCTATGTTAAAATATAGAAAACTAATCTAACCTGTAGCTGTATAGTACCAAAACAAATGACATCCAATTGGCATGCTGCATGCAAAACTACACAGAATTCATGTTTTGCAGAGTTTTGCCAAAATGAGTAATCATATAATATCTACTGTAATTTTTAAAATACATTATTGCTCACAATTTTATTTCTTCATAATCAACTAAGGAAGAATTATCAATTGGATATAATCTTCTTACCAAAAATGACACTTAAAATGTATATATATCCTAGCCCCTAACCAAATTCTGACCTATTGGGATACTTATAAAAATTTGAGTAAGTGGGATACACAAAGAATAATAACTATTAACTTTTAATTATGAGCAAAAACCTAAGGGTTAAATTTAAACTAATTGAAACTGTATTTGATTGGACTTAATTTTTTTGTTTATTAAGAAGACACTTAAAGAAGACCTTTACAATAAAGAGAAGAAATATCAAAGTCATTAAAATAAGGAGAGTTACTTTTATGATATTCTAACATTAAAAAATATAGAAATATTTCCTTAATTCTAGAGAAACTAGTTTTACTAATTTTTTACAACCTCAATAATACCATCATTGACACTTACCTTTATTAACTAGCTTCTAGAAAATACCTGCTAATTAGGTTAATGAACATTTTACGTTAGTGAAAAAAATTAATATGATTACAAAGTTGCACAGCATAACTACTGAGAGGAAAGTGATTGATCCATTTGTAATTATTTGTTTGTACTGATGTGTATAAAATACAAAATTTACATTAAACTCTAAATCACTCTTTGGTGTAAATTCTTTGTTGAAAGATATTAGATACCATGACACACCTTACCATATACAACTACATCGAATCCATTTAAGAAAGAACTAATGCCAACACTTTTATTACATGTTATTGTGCAAAGTCTCTTCTAAAGATGACATCTCATTTCAATAAGTTCAAATGTAAATGATAAAACAGGTCAGACTTATGACATGCAGTCTAATTCTACACAAGACATATTCGCTATTTTAACATAAACAAAACGTATAACACATGTGGAAGTTTACATCACTTATCTCAATTTTGTATGATCCTCAGAGGTGACTCTCAAAGGAGGAACAGATATCAACACCTAAATATAATGCCAGAAGAAATAAAAGGGTGTATTGTTGTATAAAGTTCACTGAACTTTAATAATAATCACTTTTATCAAAACCCTCCACAACCTCTGCTGAGTTCTATTTCAGTACGAAGCTGAACTCATTTAACTACTAAGTGGTATTTATTTCCAACCAGCCACGTTTCCTTCTCTGGCACCACTAAAAGTGAGCACTTAGTGTCAATGGAGATATAGGGACAGTTCATATAGTATATAACCTATATACTGCTGGGATAAACAGCACTAACAATTTCTGCTATGTAGACTAATACAGTTCACTCTAAAATCATATGCATAAATTTATGTGTTCTATAGGAATACCAGGATATTTGACGTAGAAGATAATCTAGAGATCAACTAATCTAACCTTCTTCTTCTGCATATAACAGAAATGAAAGGCAGACTTATCCCTCCACCCATCCAAGTCAGCGGTAGAGGCATGGATTGAAATCAACTACTTCACAGTGTCATGGAGGTCAGATGTTGGGAGACTGCAGAGTGGACACAAACTACCCCAAAAATCTTTGTCACTGAGATGACAATTTCCACAAGAAAGGAAATAAACAAATGCTAATAGTAATATGGTATTTTAGTAAAAATAACTGGAAGTATTTGGAATTACTTATGTTTCAAGGGTATGTATATATGCCATAGAAATTTTACATAAAACTCTAAAATCACACTTTGCTGGGATTTCTTTATTCAGATAACTTAGACATCATATACTCCTACATCAAACTAAACCCATTAAAAACAGTGTGGGAGTATTTATGGATTGCTCATTATACATAAAACACACCACTATCTCTAGTTTTTGGCATATTAATATATACATTAACCCCACATTTCACAGTTTTTTTTGTTTTGTTTTGTTTTGTTTTGTTTTGTTTTGTTTTGGAGATGGAGTCTCGCTCTGTCGCCCAGGCTGGAGTGCAGTGGCACGATCTCGGCTCACTGCAAGCTCTGCCTCCTGGGTTCACACCATTCTCCTGCCTCAGCCTCCCAAGTAGCTGGGACTACAGGCACATGCTGCCATGCCTGGCTAAATTTTTTTTTTGTATTTTTAGTAGAGATGGGGTTTCACAGTGCTAGCCAGGATGATCTCGATCTCTTGACCTTGTGATCTGCCCGCCTCGGCCTCCCAAAGTGCTGGGATTACAGGTGTGAGCCACCACGCCCGGCCCACAGTAAGTTTTATTTTTTTAAATGAAGCCAAATTCTGTAGACTCAGGTCCAGACGTGAAAAGTTCAAAAGATGAGACAACAAAATGTAGTCTTGCCCATAGTGGCTTACAAGTCCTAAAGGTATTGGTTATTGACAGTTTTTCTCAGTGATTTCTTACAGAAAAGGTTTAAAGCAGGTGTTGGCAAACTATAGCCCACAGGCCAAATCCTAGCCCACTGCCTATTTTTGTACAGCTTGGGATTTAGGAATGTTTTGTTTTCATTTTTGTTTTTAATTGTTATGGATACACGATAGCTGTACATATTTATGGGAGTAGAATGACAGTTACCAGAGAGTCATGGGGAAGGAGGGGATAAAGAGGGACTGGTAAATGAGTACAAAACTACAGTTAGTGAGAAGGAATAATATCTAGTGTTCCATAGCACAACAGGGTGACTACAGTTAAAAATAATATATTGTATATTTCAAAGTAACTCAAAGAGTGGTTCCTAACAGAAAGAAATGAATGCCTGAGGTGATGGATATCCCAGTTACCCTGATTTGCCCATTACACACTGTACACTTACGTAAATAATATCATTTGTACCCCTTTTCAAATGTTCGTGAGGAAAAAAATCAAATGAATAAAATTTCACGCCGAATGAAATTTATATGAAATTCAAATTTCAATGTCCATAAATAAGGTTTTATTGGAACACAACTATTCAGGTTTTATCTACGGCTGCTTTCATGCTATGACAGAGCTGAGTTGCTTTGATGTAGACTGCATGGCTCACAAAACCTAAGTATTTTCTAACTGGCTCTATAAAAAAAAGAAGACTGGGGAACCTGGCACAGGTGCACACCTGTAATCCCAGCACTTTGGGAGGCCGAGGCAGGCAGATCACCTGAGGCCAGGAGTTTCAGACCAGTCTGGCCAACATGGTGAAGCCTTGTCTCTACTAAAATAATTCAAATTAGCCAGGCAAGGTGGTGGGCACCTGTAGTCCCCACTACTCAGGAGGCTGAAGTAGGAGAATCGCTTGAACACAGGAGGGTGCAGTGAGCCGAGACCCAGCCACTGTACTCCAGCCTGGGCAACAGAGTGAGACTCCATCTCTAAATAAATAAATGAATAAAAATTTAAAAAGATGACTGCTTCTCCCTGGACCAGTACTTTAAAAACAGGCGAAAAAAAGCCTTTTGGAGAAAAAAACAAACAAACAAAAACAAAAAAACCTCTCTTTTTGTACCTAGGTGTTTCAGTCGTTTTTTCACTGAAAACATCTGATCCCTATTCACTGCCAACACTCAAGGTGTGATTACAATACTGCCAGTGGGAACTAAAGATGTGGAAATACACTTAATAATCAATAGGCAGTGAGAAATCACCTGATTTTTTTTTAATGGAGCAAGAGCATGAAAAGGCAATTTCCAGGAGAAATACAAATGGCAAAAAATATGAAAAAACACATATCATCAATAAGGAAATAAATTTATATTTATATTACATGTTTTTTTCACTTACAGGTTTCAAATTAATTTAAAATATTTTTTTTCTTTTTTTGAGACAGAGTCTTGTTCTATCACCCAGGCTGGAGTGCAGTGGTGTGATCTCGGCTCACTGCAACCTCTGCCTCCCGGGTTCAAGCAATTCTCTGCTTCAGCCTCCTGAGTAGTTGGGATTACAGACACCCGCCACCATGCCTGGCTTAGTTTTGTATTTTTAGTAGAGACAGAGTTTAACCATCTTGGCCAGGCTGATCTTGAACTCCTGCCTTCATGATCCACCCGCCTTGGCCTCCCAAAGTGCTAGGATTACAGGCGTGAGCTACCATGCCCGGTAAAGAATCCCACTCTTAATGGAACTATAAATTGGTACAATCTTTCTGGAAAACTATTTGAAAATATCATTTAATATTTTGACAAATAACTTTTTCCTAGAAGAAGGACTGAGTCAATAATCCTTCTTCTAGGAAACTTAATACAAATATGTTAGAAAAAATGCTCAAAAATATATGGACACATACACGCTCTATAGCATTGTTTTTAATAGAGAAAAACTATTATTGTAAACAAACTACATGCCCATCAGTTGCAGCTTAACTATGTTAAATGTATGTAGCATAACTGACTTTAAATTTGATTGGCATGTCATTAGAGATATGCAGATCAAAACCACAATGAGACACCATCTCACACCAGTTAGAATGGCTATTATTTAAAAGTCAAAAAATAACAGATACTAGTGAGGTTGTGGAGAGAAGGGAACACTTATATACTACTGGTCGGAAAGTAAATTAGTTCAGCCACTGTGGAAAGCAGTTTGGCTTTTCTCAAAGGACTTAAAACAGAATTACCATTTGACCCAGCAATCCCATGATTGGGTATATACATAAAGGAATAGGCATCATTCTATCATACAGACACATGCAAGTGTATGTTCAACACAGCACTATTCACAAAAGCAAAGACATGGAATCAACCTAAATTCTCATCATTGGTAGACTGGATAAAGAAAATGCGGTACACAAAATTAATGTGCAAAAATCGCAAGCATTCTTATACACCAGTGACAGTCAAACAGAGAGCCAAATCAGGAATGAACTTCCATTCACAATTGCTTCAAAGAGAATAAAATACCTAGGAATCCAACTTACAAGGGATGTAAAGGACCTCTTCAAGGAGAACTACAAACCACTGCTCAGTGAAATCAAAGAGGACACAAACAAATGGAAGAACATACCATGCTCATGGATAGGAAGAATCAATATCGTGAAAATGGCCATACTGCCCAAGGTCATTTATAGATTCAATGCCATCCCCATCAAGCTACCAATGAGCTTCTTCACAGAATTGGAAAAAACTGCTTTAAAGTTCATATGGAACCAAAAAAGAGCCCGCATCTCCAAGACAATCCTAAGTCAAAAGAACAAAGCTGGAGGCATCACGCTACCTGACTTCAAACTATACTACAAGGCTACAGTAACCAAAACAGCATGGTACTGGTACCAAAACAGAGATATAGACCAATGGAACAGAACAGAGTCCTCAGAAATAATACCACACATCTACAGCCATCTGATCTTTGACAAACCTGAGAGAAACAAGAAATGGGGAAAGGATTCCCTATTTAATAAATGGTGCTGGGAAAACTGGCTAGCCATAAGTAGAAAGCTGAAACTGGATCCTTTCCTTACTCCTTATACGAAAATTAATTCAAGATGGATTAGAGACTTAAATGTTAGACCTAATACCATAAAAATCCTAGAGGAACACCTAGGTAGTACCATTCAGGACATAGGCATGGGCAAAGACTTCATGTCTAAAACACCAAAAGCAACGGCAACAAAAGTCAAAATTGACAAATGGGATCTCATCAAACTAAAGAGCTTCTGCACAGCAAAAGAAACTACCATCAGAGTGAGCAGGCAACCTACAGAATGGGAGAACATTTTTGCAATCTACTCATCTGACAAAGGGCTAATATCCAGAACCTACAAAGAACTCAAACAAATTTACAAGAAAAAAACAAACAACCCCATCCAAAAGTGGGCAAAGGATATGAACAGACATTTCTCAAAAGAAGACATTCATACAGCCAACAGACACATGAAAAAATGCTCATCATCACTGGCCATCAGAGAAATGCAAATCAAAACCACAATGAGATACCATCTCACACCAGTTAGAATGGCGATCATTCAAAAGTCAGGAAACAACAGGTGCTGGAGAGGATGTGGAGAAATAGGAACACTTTTACACTGTTGGTGGGATTGTAAACTAGTTCAACCATTCTGGAAAACAGTATGGCGATTCCTCAAGGATCTAGAACTAGATGTACCATATGACCCAGCCATCCCATTACTGGGTATATACCCAAAGGATTATAAATCATGCTGCTATAAAGACACATGCACACGTATGTTTATTGCGGCACTATTCACAATAGCAAAGACTTGGAATCAACCCAAATGTCCATCAGTGACAGATTGGATTAAGAAAATGTGGCACATATACACCATGGAATACTATGCAGCCATAAAAAAGGATGAGTTTGTGTCCTTTGTAGGGACATGGATGCAGCTGGAAACCATCATTCTTAGCAAACTATCACAAGAACAGAAAACCAAACACCGCATGTTCTCACTCGTAGGTGGGAACTGAACAATGAGATCACTTGGACTCGGGAAGGGGAACATCACACACCGGGGCCTATCATGGGGAGGGGGGAGGGGGGAGGGATTGCATTGGGAGTTATACCTGATGTAAATGACGAGTTGATGGGTGCAGCACACCAACATGGCACAAGTATACATATGTAGCAAACCTGCACGTTGTGCACATGTACCCTACAACTTGAAGTTTAATAATAATAAATAAATTAAAAAAAAAAAAAAAAAAAAGAAAATGCGGTACATATACACCATGGAATACTATGCAGCCATACAAAAGAAAGAGATCATGTCCTTTGCAACAACATGGATGAAGCTGGAGGCCATTATTCTAAGCAAACTAACATAGGAACAGGAAACCAAATACCACATGTTGTCACTTATAAGTGGGAGCTAAACACTGAATTTATATGGACACAAAGAAGGAAACAACAAACACCAGGACCTACACTGAGGCTGGTGGAAGGAGGGTAAGGACTGAAAAATTACCTAGCCGGTACTATGTTTATTACCTGGGTGACAAAATAATCTGTACACCAAACCCCTACAAAACACAATTTACCTATGTAACAAACCTGCACGTGTACCCCTGAACCTAAGTTAAAAAAAAAAAATCAGGTCAGTCTACATGTACTAACATGGAATGAAACAAAAATCCAGTATGTAAATAAATGTAAATATATTTGTACAAGTATAATGGCATGTATATGTAAGGGGTACTAACTTTCACTTTCTATTACATATGTTTGTATTTCAATTTTTAAACATATAATTTCCTTTTATAATAAAAATGTGAAATATTAAATGTTTCAAATAGCAGTGAATTTATTGTCTATCTCTAGTTACATGTAGATATTTTCTACTATTGTTCTTATTCAGAAAAATAGATTGCTACATTAATAAAAAGTGTAACTTATTTCAGCTTATTATTACCACTTTTAGTTTACCACTTTTAGTTAGTCTTGTATGGAATTTTTAAAACGATTTCACATAATCTGACAAAGTAATGTGGGATGCTTTGATGGGAAGTAAAAGTCTTTTCTAAGAGTATAGAAGTATAGGAGTTCCTACTTCAATTTTCATCCCAAATGAAAGCAAATACTTCCTCATCTTTTCACATATTATTTATGTGGTAATGGGCCTTGGACTGTCTATTTTGATCCAACTGAGAAATCCCAAATGAGACTACAAATGGAAATAGTAGTTTATTCCTATCTGGCTAGAGACTGATTTCTGGACTTTTCATTTTATCTTCTTTGTATCCCTTCTGATCACACTGCTTTCACTCAATTTACGTTGGCAGAAAGTTTCACAAGTCCATTAAACTTTGTGGCTGATTGTTTCCTTCTCACACATCAGGAACTTCCAGCTCAAGAACTCCAGAATCTGGCAAACAATTCCATTGTCACCCTATCTATGGCTTACTCGGAGGCAGGGAGTGAGGCAGGTTCCAAGCATGGGCTCTGGAATCAGACCCACCATGTGACTTTACAGCAGGTTTGGGTTGCATGATTCGGGGAAAACGGCTTAACTTCTGCATTCCTTTTTTCTCTTCTCTAAAAATGGGACCAATCTCTGGGGATTGTTAAGGATTAAATAAGATAATATAATCACTTAAAACAGTATAGCTAGTGAGACTTTACTGATTTTTAACTACATATCCTTAGAGCCCTATAGGATCTTAAATGTTTACTTTATACCCATTTGATAGTCTTCTAGCTTCTGGGATCTTTCACTGTATCTTCTTTGATCCTTCTCTCCTTTCGTGAGACATCACCATACATATGCACAACATTCCAATTGTCTTTCAATTTCATTTAACAAGAAACTTACATGATACCTACCACATGACAGACATTATTCTAATCACTAGTGAATGTTCACTGATTTTATTCTTTTAACAACAGTGTAAAGCAAATATTATTACTTATTTTATTGTAAAGATAAGGTAACCATTTCATAGTGAGCATAAGCAGCTTACCTAAGGTCACAAGAAAAGAAAGAATTGGAAAAAAGGATTGAGCCCAGGCACTCTGGCGCCTAGCCATTCTGCTGAGCAGTTCTTAGCTGTGCCCTCAAGGGCAAAAGGTCTCCCCAGCAGGCAACGGTACTCCTGCAAACTAAGGAAAAATCAGCTAATATATAAGAAGCACAAACATATAGAAATGAATGATCTATTGGATATTTACTGTAGTCAAACACTTTGACATCTAGCACATTTAAGAGAATCTATTTCCATAACTCTAGAAACAGGCACCATAAGTCAGTTCCTCTTTGCAAAGTTTCCCACACTTCAGTGTTTTGAAATTTGACCAAAAAGTGATTTCCAGTGTTCAGATTATGAAATTATCCTGCAGAGAATTTCTCTTGTTTAAAGAAAAAGGATTCCAGATCTTTCTTTAGATTACGGATCTGGGGCTACAGGAAAATTTACAATTAATTTTGCAGGTTAAATTTCTCTACTTAAGAAATAAAGGATTTTTTTTTTTTTTTTTTACCTCTGCTGAAGCAAACAAAAAGATATACATTTATGTTTAAGACATACATGTATGTTCCGTTACATTAGTGAAATCTTGAATCTATACTCCCAAGGATTAATTTATTTCAGTCAAAGAGAAATTTTTCAAACTGTGCCATTATTGGGTAGTCTAATCAAAACTATTGGACATTGTATTGCCCATATTTTAAAATGTCCAGGGGTATATTAAGTTTTTATTCTCAGAATCCAAAGCCAAGCCACCCAAAACTTTGTGATCAAACAACACTACAGTCTCGTCTAACTCCATGTTAACACTTGTGGCAAGAAACATGAAATGAAACTCACCACGGAGAACTCCACATCCTCCATAAGATCTCCTAATTTCTGCTTTTCCTATGCCTAACTGGCAAGTAGATTTCGGCCAAGGACAACTTTCTCTATGCAAAAGCACCAATACATCTTTCCAAACTTGCAGAGAGTTAAAGGAAAAAATGGACAGATATTGGCCCAATGTTGATTGATGAAATTCCTGAAGCCCTCTGCACTCATAATATACAAAGTACAGAAAAGATTTCCAAAAATGGCCCTCTACTAAGTGAAAGAGTATAATATCTCTAACCGGGTTTGCAATTCACTCCCATGGCAATGGGACTAGAAGTCACTAAAAGTGCCTCCTACATGTCAAGCACTATTCCAAGCAATCAATTCATTTTTAATAACACAGTGAGGCAGATGCTATTTTCAAACCCATTACACAGATGAGGAAATTGAGACTCAGAGCTGTTGAATCATTTGTCTATAATCTAATCACAGTTAATTGGTGGAACTGGGATTCTAACTCCAAAAATCTGGCTCTAATAGTCTTCACCTCTTAGAAAACGTCACGTTAACTCTCAGAGATCTCAAAACCAGAAGACTAAGACAAATATCTACAAAAATAAATGTACTGTCCTCCTGAACACAAATTATTTGAAAATCCAGTTTACAAGGATACAGAAGATTATTCTGTCCGATTGTAGGTAGTCTTATTCTCCTACTTGATTGTAATTTGGGACTGTTTTCTTCATGTTTCTACTTCCCACTATATACAAGAGGCACTCAAAAAGTTCACTGAATATGCAGATCAAGAAGATAAACTTCAAGAAAGTTATGACGAGGAAATTTAAAGATAATTGCAAATAAGCTTCTTTATTCAAGTCACAGATTAACAGTATGAAAATTTGAACTAAAAGAGAGTATTAGCAAATGGCCCAAAGATCTGAATATGAAGAGGTTCTCATGGGTCACATTACATAAGTAAAAATAAGGAAGGAAATCCACTATAAGAAAGCAGAACATTTGCTTCACATGCTCTTGTAAGCTGAACTAATGACTGCCGCAAGAAGACACAGAGAACTGAGTATCCTCCCAAAGGTGAATTTCAATTTTTATTATGAGTGTGCTTGCTTATATAAAAGGCAGAATATGCTTAAGGGAAAAAAGTGCTTTAAAGTTAATATTCTACAAACCATAGTTTACGAGCATAAGAAATTACATAATTTACAGCAATCTGATGTATTAGTAATAATTAATGATGTATTATTATCTCTTAAACAGTGTTTTGTTTTATGGCTAACAGTAGCACCTGTGAATGAGGTAGAACCTGTTATTTGGATTTCACAAGGATGTGAAAGTAATGGTACTATTAAAAGTACCAAAAATGTATTCTATGCTTTAAAAATTCTAGCCAGAAAACAGTATTTTCCTTCTCAATACATCTATTGAAAGTGTTGGATAAATGCAGGATGTTAATATGCTATAAACCTAAAGTCTGTTTTTAAAAAATAGCATCTGAAAATCATGAAGGGATTTTTGTCTTCTTTTGTTTGTATATATGTTTACTGGTAACAGGTGACGTTGGAAGCAATGAACACCACAGTGATGCAAGGCTTTAACAGATCTGAGCGGTGCCCCAGAGACACTCGGATAGTACAGCTGGTATTCCCAGCCCTCTATACAGTGGTTTTCTTCACTGGCATCCTGCTGAACACTTTGGCTCTGTGGGTGTTCCTTCACATCCCCAGCTCCTCCACCTTCATCATCTACCTCAAAAACACTTTGGTGGCCGACTTGATAATGACACTCACGCTTCCTTTCAAAATCCTCTCTGACTCACACCTGGCACCCTGGCAGCTCAGAGCTTTTGTGTGTCGTCTCTCTTCGGTGATATTTTATGAGACCATGTATGTGGGCATCGTGCTGTTAGGTCTCATAGCCTTTGACAGATTCCTCAAGATCATCAGACCTTTGAGAAATATTTTCCTTAAAAAAACGGTTTTTGCAAAAACAGTCTCAGTCTTCATCTGGTCCTTTTTTTTCTTCATCTCCCTGCCGAATATGATCTTGAGCAACAAGGAAGCAACACCATCGTCTGTGAAAAAGTGTGCTTCCTTAAAGGGGCCTCTGGGGCTGAAATGGCATCAAATAGTAAATAACATATCCCAGTTTATTTTCTGGACTGTTTTTGTCCTAATGCTTGTGTTTTATGTGGTTATTGCAAAAAAAGTATATGATTCTTATAGAAAGTCCAAAAGTAAGGACAGAAAAAACAACAAAAAGCTGGAAGGCAAAGTATTTGTTGTCGTGGCTGTCTTCTTTGTGTGTTTTGCTCCATTTCATTTTACCAGAGTTCCATATACTTATAGTCAAACCAACAATAAGACTGACTGTAGACTGCAGAATCAACTATTTATTGCTAAAGAAACAACTCTCTTTTTGGCAGCAACTAACATTTGTATGGATCCCTTAATATACATATTCTTATGTAAAAAGTTCACAGAAAAGCTACCATGTATGCGAGGGAGAAAGACCATAGCATCAAGCCAAGAAAATCATAGCAGTCAGACAGACAATATAACCTTAGGTTGACAATTGTACATAGGGTTAACCTCTATTTATTGATGAGACTTCAGTAGATAATGTAGAAATCAAATTTAATGAATAAGAAAAGATTGGAATAAATGCTCTCTTACATTATCCTAGTGTACAGAAAAGATTACATAAATTTTAACTCCACATACATCTATTCATAAGCTGAATGAACCATTACTAAGAGAATGCAACAGGACACAAATGGCCACTAGAGGTCATTATTTCAAGAGCATTTCACTTTAACACTTTGGAAAAGATTAAGGAGAACGTACATCCCTACAAACCTCCCCTCCAAACACCTTCTCACATTCTTTTCCACAATTCACACAACACTACTGCTTTTGTCCCCCGTAAATGTAGATATGTGCTGGGAAAAAAAAAAAAAAAGCCCAACTCCTGAAGTCCGTTGTTGAAAACTGCAGCCAGGGGTTGAAAGGGATGCAGATTTAAAGAGTCTGAGGAACTGAAGTGGGTCAGCAAGACCTCTGAAATCCTGGGTAAATGATTTTCTCCTTACAATTACAAACAGCCTCTTTCACATTACAATAATATACCATAGGAGGTACAAGCACCATTATTAAGCCTCTTTGCTTACACCTTAAGAATGTACAATTCAAGTGTAAGAATGCTGTGTTAACTATTCTTTGGAATTCTCCTTTTGTCCAGCAAATACTCTAATGATGGTTAAACATGCCACCACTCAGCAATGCCTTCCTGGCATTGCCACAACCTCTATGCCCCTGCCCCACCCTCCTGGTTAAAAATAATTACTTCTACTGTTTGGGTGTGTGATAGGGTTCTCAGTGCAGATCCTCCTTTTCTAGTTAGCTATATTCTTGACTGCATCCCCTAAAAATGTTAAAGCTTCTTGAGAGACAGACATGCCAGGTTTCCTTGGTATATCCCACAATACGCCCTCCAGTCCATGGTCTACAGATGTTTAAATAGAATTGCTGTTCTTGATCCACACAAAGATGGAATTGCCGACCCATAATCAGTAACATCCATATTGGAAGCTTTTTCAAAGGATGGTGACCTGTTTGTACTTATTTACCTTGGTACTTTTTCTTGCATCCTTTTGTGATTCAAAAAATAAAACGCAGCTTTCTGAAATGATGGATAAGAGTCTACATCTTCTAGAAAAAATACAGGAAGGAGTAGTTAAGCTCTGTAAATGTGCCATGAGCTCCAACACGAACATCATAAGGTGAAGCCCACGTTTTCTTCCATGGCCTCAACGACCCTAGAACTCGCCTACCTTTCGGGCCTTACCTCCTAGCTACTTACCCATCTCTTGAACTTTATACTCTTGTATACATTTCTAAGTTTCAGAAAATGCCATGCTCCATTCTGGGACTACACATGTATATTTCCCTCTGGTACACCTGGAAGACTCTTATCCATCTGTGAAACCCTATGTTGCCATCAAAAAATACTACCTGGCCAATATCCCACCATCACCTCAAACCCAATCACCCCCTCCTCTGTATGCTGTCACACCTATATTAATAAACTTATCACACTGCATTGTAATTATTCCCTCACCTTTGTATCTACTCTGTTAATAACCGATGTATATTTTTGAGAGATTGTTTCATTGTGCAATCAATAAATGTTTGACAAAATAAAGCCCATTTGGTTTATTTTATGTATTAGAGAAGCAAAAGGGAAGCCAATTCTCATTGATCCTTTTATTATCCAAAGACAATATAAATTTATTGAAATGAAAGCTCAAGCTCTCTCCAGTTACTCTCCCATAACATGTATGTAGGGCCTGAAAATTGTGGTGCTACTGGGTTCAGTAGTGAATGATCATGACAGCAGCAGATCATGGAATAGCCAAATGCAAAGTTTTAAAGCTATTGACAAAATCCTTTAGCTATGTACTATTGACAATGGTTAAGTAAAATGTGTAACTATAGCACGTAAGAATCACCTTTAGAAAGTACTCTTGATGTCTGATCATCATTCTCTCAAATAAAGGAATTAAATAATCATTACTACTAAGGATGTCACCAAATCTGTATTACCTCTACTAAGTACATTACACAGTCACAAGTAGACTATAATCTTGTAAATAACTGCATCTAAGCTACCTTTGTTAAATAGCGAGGTATGTTTTGTGGGGTAACCTATGTATTTTGCCTCTAATGACATTTTCAATCTCTACTTAATGTGGGCACACCTAAAGTATACAATTTTTAGGAAAGATCTTTTAAGATAAATTCCAAAAGCAAATCTGTTATCCATAAATACAAACACTTCATTCCATTATAATATTCCACTCAAAGCAGAGTGCCTGATCTGTAGAATAAAGTAATCTATTGTATCAAGAACTTGGTGAAGAGGCATAGTAGAGATATCTTAAAATCACACTCACAAAATGAAGAACTTCCTAAACTAGCAATCACAAACACTAAGTTCTAAAATATTTTTTAAAAAACAAGATGCTACAATATAGCCATAAATGATATACTACAAATAAAAGAAAATAGTAGCTTTGGATAGAATAGGTGAGCTCAGAATACAAAAGCTTTTCATCAAAAGTTAAAACGTAATTACTTTTATAAATAAATAGGATAAGATCTTCCCAATAACTTTCAAGAAAGAGCAGGGTTGAAGGGAGTGCAGTTCCCACACATGGCAGAATTTCTTGAGAAACCAAGGAAAGTAACTGTAAAGTGGGAAGGATAAGGCAGAGAAGGAGTGAGAATTCTCAACTCATAGAAGCCAAAAGGTAGATAAAGTCATTATCTCATAATTTTAAAAGAATCATTCAATCTTATTAATCCCATTATTTATTACATTCCATATCCATTTAAAAGCTTTTCCTAACTTTCCAAGGTATTCTTTCTAAAATACTTAAACCTTACCCCGACATAAACTGTATTCCTTCAGCAACTGAACAGATCAAAGTTCACACGGATCTTAGCAGAATATCCAGAGCAAAAAAACCCAAAGCCAGTATTATCTATTATTTAAGAAAAAACATACTTAGAAGACAGTAGCCCTACTAAGGAAAGTGCAGAATTTACAAATCATTGGAAGTACCCAAAAACATATCTCAATATTTGAAATTTTACATAGAAACCAAATGTAGGTAATATGAATACAGAACACATGTGCTGTATTAGTTTGCAAATTTTAGTGGCTACCAGAATCAGCTGGAGGGAGTCTCAAAATACAGATTGTCAGACCCATCAAAACGACAAAAGCAGTACATCTGTCTCCTTTAATAATCCCAGGCAGGCTATGAAATGCTTATTATCTTCATTTTAGAGATCAAGAAGTTGAGAAACAGAAAGGCTAAGTAACTTGCATGAGGTCACAGAGCTTGCCATCTGCAGGAATGGGGCTTTAATTGAGACGTGGCTTCTAAGCCCATATTCTTAACCACTGTATTTACAACCTCAGATCTAATTTTCTCAAGAGAATTCACAATTCCAGTTTCCCATGCTATAATTCCTGTTATTTACAGAACTTCCGTAGCCACCCCCATGCTCCCTGACCCCACAAAAACAATACATTTCTGTGTGGGTAGTAACCAACCCAGATACTGCCAGATCTTAAGCCCTGACCTAGAGGCTAACGAGAACCTCCCAGGATCTTACCCAAGCAGCTCACACTCATTTCCTGAATGCTTGCTGTGTGCCAGGCTCTTTACAAAGATTATCATCTTTCTAATTCTTACTACAATCGTATGAGACAGATACTACCAGGCTCTCCAGTTAAAAACAGGAACAAAACTGAAGCACAAAGTAAACATACACCTTGCCCATGGTGCACATCACTCACCAACAAATGGGGCAGAGCTGGGACTGAAACCCAGGCAGGTGGTCTCAAGACCAACACCTCAACTGCTCTAGTCACCACCTCTCTGTCATGTCAGACTTAGCAAAATTCCTCAAAGGCCCCACTAGGGAGAATGAGGAGGAGGTTTCTTATTGGGGAAGAGAGAAGTCTCAACATGAATGGGCTTCAACAACCTCGGGGGTATGAATGATGCAATCGCGGCACCTACAATTACTTCAGGGGTCCCTCCAGCACTTGAGAGCTCAGGGGGAGTAAAATCCCCAAGAGTGGATTCATTTGTTCATTTAGCCAGTCATTCCTTCATCACCAACTTGAGTACAGGACCTTTTGTGCCTCTAGAAGGTGAACACTGGTAAGGAACACAGATGATAATGACTCGAGATGTGATAAGAGGTGTGAGAGACACACCACAGAAGTTCAAAGGAATAGGTAATTAATTCCACATGGAGAAAATGAAGACGGGTTCACAGGAGATGGAAATTTGAACTGGAACTTGAAGAAAACAGAGCATTCAAAAGGGAACCCTCCGGCACAATGAGCAGTTTCAAGGCAGGCTCAGGTAGGGGTGGAAGTGTGTTGTGGTTGGACCCTCGTGAGGGTTGCAGGGGGCCTGAGCCTGCACCACGTGACATAGGGAATACATTTGGGACAAAGATGCAGGACTGTACAGCCAAGCACTGTACTGGGACACCTAGTCTTCACTAATGAGTCACTGAAGGTTTCTAAGGTGAAGAACCACATGTTCTGGGCTGTGCTTTAGGAAAATCAATTGACCAGCTATAGGATGATTCTAGACTGAAGGAAGAGCCAGTGGAGCCAGGTTAATTAAAGAGGTCTTCCATGTATGCAGGCAAGAATCATGGGGAAAACATCTGACATGGACCTTCCAGACATTCTCAGGAATAGAGGTTTTAAGGTCAGAGTCCAAGACCATTGAAAGTGGGGGACTCTATGTAAAACATGTGATTAATATGTAAAACATATTAGCAATGGGATCCATAATGCCTCCACCCCCTTCTCCTCTAATTGAGGGTTGACTTCTCTCAGGATCGTTAGCTTGAATGATTTGCTAGGTCATCATCACAGAAGCAGATTTGGGGTATGTTCCATTTGAGGCATCAGTGAGAGAGCTAGGGTCAAAGAGCCCACAGCTGGGCCAAAACATGGACCTTGGCTCCAAAAATAGAAATAGACTAGAGGTGGAGGGAATAGTCTTTTTTGAGACAGGGAGAGAAAAAGGAACGAGATGAGAACCCCAGAGGCCATACTACACAAGTCTAGTGGTCAGAACAGACAGAAGAGGAACAGGGGATGATGCCTTGCAACTGGGAGGGGCAGGTAGTGTTAGCGAATTAAAAGAAGAAACAGGAGGTCCAGTGTACTGAATACCAAGGAACAAGAGAGATTCAAGGAGGAAGTGATAGCCAACAGAATCATACACTCTAAAGAGGTCAAAAGTGATGAATCTACAACTATAAGGTCAATGATAACTCTAAAGTGGAGGTGGGGTGAGCTCCAGTTTGTGAATGAGAAGTGAGGAAGAAGCAGCAACTATTATCTTCCCATAATGGATAAGTCAGTTTAAAAGAGTTTCATGGGGGGC